TTACCCTGCCGTAGACTAACTTTAACCTCCACGGTAGAGTTAGTAATGCTTAGCTATAGCGGGGAGAGTTCTTAATCGTTATTATTATATAACTCTATAATACGGGTAAGGATAGGGATAGTGTTAGAGCTAGTGGTAGGAGGAGGTTTAGTTAAACTACTAGTAGTCTGCTATTAGCTAGATAGAAAAGAATATCTTTACGGGTAAGTATTAGCGTAATAGCCCTTCGCATAATATTTAAAATAAGTAATCTTATTAATAGGACGATAAATTAGAGGTACGGAAATAGGCTAAGTGTTCTGCTATTAGGTAGTGGTGATATTAGCGGCGTTATTATAAGAACGCTTAGTTCCCCGGAAATCGTTATTACGACCGTAACGTTAAGAACGATTATTATGCAACTAGTAATTAACTGCGTATTTACTACTTTTAGTAAGAATTAATTCGGCCTATTTAGCCTGTCAATCTAATTTACGATACGTTATAGGTAAGCCGCCTAGTATAATCTAAGGGCGTAAATTATCTCGTAATTTCGTAATTATAGAAGTAACACCGATAATCTCCGGTAAGGGAATAGGGAGCTCGGATTCGAATAATCGCCACTTAGCTTTAAAATTATTATAGGATTAACGGGGACCCTGCCGTGAGTCCTTATAGAATATACGTTAAACCGCCTGTAAAACTCGAGTATTACTATCTAGTATCTAATCGCGGAGCTAAGCTAAAAATTCGTCCTAAGATAGCCTACCGTTAGGCTATTATCGGTTGGCTTCTAAGTTATAATCCTATCGTAAGGATAGTGCGAGGCACTATATAGTAAAAATAATACGGTTAGTGTTATCGTTAAGAGTAGGGTTAATAATACGAATCTGCTATATCTGCGTAATAAAAGATTTATATTAAGCCCACAAAGTAGCGGAAAAATAGGGATTTAGTATATTAAGTTTCGAAAAAGCAGGGTTCTCCAAAGTAGTCGGCTATAGAGTAGCGGCTATTTAGACGGGAATAAGTTAATAATTTTAAATAGGTTAGTAGGGCTATAAAGCCTGACTAGATGCTATAGGTATATTAGGCGGGGGTATAGCTGAATTACTGAGAGTTAGGGGTAGGGGATATAAATATATAATTACCTGACTAAAATCGTCGGTATTATTCGCCTGCTATTAAGTAGCGGCTATATTATCGGCACGTTACTGCCGAATATTCTTTAACTAATCGTATAGCTATTATTAACGCTAGCGCTCTTATTTACGAGCCTGCTATTCTTATCTCTTTTATTTAAGCTGTATATTCTCTTTAGCTAATAGATCTTCTAGCTCCCTAAAGCTAGGTAACTACGGTTTAACTAGTGATTAGGGTCGGGAATATAAAATTAAAGGTAAACGATTCTTTTAATCTTATTAACTTCCCGTGTATAGCTAATTTAGGTTAATTCCTATCATAGTCTTATAAGACCCTAAGCTAGTCTACGGTTAATTTATATCTATATCTATAGCACTAGATATATAAGGTGGAATCGGGGTATTCTCCGAGATTATAGGGCTAGGAGGAAAATTTAATTAAAACTCGGGTTAAAGACTAATAATACTGCTTATACTGCTAATTATCTATAGCCGAGTAGTGCTATTAGTGGCAGGGTTATAGTTAATTAGCTATTCGGCCGCTAACGACGAAGATATTTAATTAGGCTAAGAATCGCTAATATAAATACTTTTTAACTAGAGAAGTCGCTGCTGGGGCCGCCTAATTGGGCGGATTCTGCCGCCATTCGCATAGGTATCAGCAGTCCCTGATATAGGAGCGCGATATGCTGCATCTTAAGTACTCAGTACCTCCAGGGGGCAAAGCCAGGGACAGAGCAGCCCTACCCATATTATGGCCGGAGTTTACCCAGGGCCTGGTTTTAGGAGTGCCTAACCTAGAACTGGTTCTTGGACTGTTGCTCCTGTTGTTAACTCTTTTCGAAACCGACTATCCGCTATCATGGTCGACTGCCACCATAAATAGCGGCAACGCCTTCGAAGGTCTTCGCTGGCCTTCTCTTCTTTGCTCCGGCATTTAAATACCCCGTAAATAACCTGCTCCCACTATCTCCCCACCCCAGAGCAAGCGTCTCTGCACTATTATTTATATCCCTATAGCTTAGTCGATAACCGCTAGAGCGTATCGCGCCGGCGCTAACGACACACGAGATAGCTATTCCGACTTCCTCGCCTATTTCGCCTAGTAAGAGTCACGTAGCAGAACCGCTAAATAACCCCTAATATTATCCGCTAAGGAGCACACGGCGAACCGAAAAAGGCTACGGCGAGTAACCTTCGTTAAGCCGTTCTATATAGATAGCACAGAAATCAACGTCGCCGGTGTGCTTAAAAAGTAGCAGAGGTAAGTCGTTAGTCCTTCGCACTAACCGGCTATCATCTAATATACGGCTAAGGTACTACGAGCAGAAGAATATAGGCGACTAGGAGGCGACCTTAAAAGACCTACGATAAATGACGACGATAGACTTTATACTCTTCGTCTATACTAACTATAACGTAAAGTCCTAGGACACTACTCACGTATATATACGCTAGTTCTAGTAGCTATACACTATAGTTACTAGTCGATATATAGATTATAACGATACTAAGGAAGTATATAAGGTATTATAAATCTAAGGTATTCGTTATTACCCCTCCGGATACGGTGCGTCCCTATTCTATAGCCTTAAAGGTGCTAACGGAGAAACTCTTAGATAGTACCACCGTTAGTATCTAGTCCCACGGTTCGGTCTTCGTAAGCCTAACGTTAACGCTAAGCCGGTCGTAAACACGGCCGGCTTAGAGGTAGTTTCAGCGTTTAATATAGCTTATAACACGTGTATTTTCCCCGGCGAATAACACCGCGTTTAATTTAACGGCTACTATAAGATTATATACTTTACTAGAGCAAGGCCTGCTAAGCTTGTCGATAATAAGAGACGTAAGCCTAAAGACGGCTCTACTAAGACGCTCTTCGGCTCTAAGGTCGTATCGCTGCCTAACAGTAATAACGATAAGGACGATAATAATAACGACCTATAGCTAGATAAGCTACTAGCGGCGGAAACTAAGGCCCGCAGTCGGCCTAAGGCTCTTTACTACGAGGATATTATACTTATAATCGTTTACCACCCACGTATAGGATGGGCAGTATATACGATAGCTATTAAGTTCGATTATTATAAAGGCGCAGATAATAAGCCGAAGCCGTGAGTTTCTACTAAACGGCTACCGATAGCACTATACTAGCGCTAATTTACGCAGGACCGTCTTCTACTTCACGCCTACCCGGAAGCTGGTTTTTTGCCTTATTAGCGATATTATTACCCTTATACTCGACGATAAGGCCTTTAACGCATAGAGCTTAATAAACGCATCGCGTGTATTAGGAACGAAGGTTCTAGCAGGCATAGCGTCTATTCCCCTACGGTGGAAATCGTCTAAACTTAAGATTCCTATTTTCCGCCGCTTCGATCATAACGGGGAACTATCTAAAAACAAAGCTATACCCTATTCTAAGCTTAGGGACGATATAGGCTAGTAGAGCGAAGATACAGGGTTCGAGATTCGCTAAACGTCTAAGGCCTACCGCTAAGGTGCCTTTAACTCTATAAATAGTTTATCATGTCCTAATTAGCTAGCCACGAGCTACGGCGCGCCCTACTCTATAAAGCTAATATACCTATAGGTAATACTCCGGATACTATCTAAGACTAGATAATACGCTATAATCCTAGGTTTCTTACCTTTAATAATACCTACCTTAATTAGATAGTTAAATTCGATATACAGAACACCTTCCTTAAGGAAAAGACGGAGAGCGAACTATATAAGTTATTCGCCCACGTTAGCCTTAGCCGTGACCCCCGGGTAAAGCGCGATATAGTGCCCGAAGAAGTGTAGGCGAGCCTGCCACCCCTCCCCGAAATCGTTAAGTTAGAGCGGCGACGAGTATTACTTAAATAGGGAGGATATTGTATTAGGGGCCTAGAAGCCGAATAAGAGATACGGATACTTACCGAGCAGATAAAACTTAAGAAAACACGGCGCGAGACCTTAGTCGTTAGAAACTACCACGAGCACTACTTCTACACGTAGCTAACCCGCGATATTAAGAGGCAGGCGCGCGGTAAGATAGACGAGGAATATAAGGAGCCTAAGTTAGAGCTTACTATCCCAGAATATACACGGCTTACCGAACTTTAGAGGAGCTAATCGGACGATTAGTCGGATAAGGAGATCGCGTGCCGTCGCGTGGAGTGGATCGATCTAAAGGTATCGCTCTATAAAAAGCGCGAGACCCGCCGGCATGGATATATAAGGAAAGGTAAGCGAGCTAGGCCTCCCGTAAAACTAGAGTTACCGGAGCTTAAATTCGAGCCTAAACCTAAGCCTAAGCCTAAGCTATCCCCCTTACCCCTCCTAATAGATCCGACCCAGTATCCTATCTATATCGGAGATAAGCGTCTTTTAAGAGACGAGCGGACTTTTAGATTCTATCGTCCTACTATACGTAACGACCACTTCGATAACCAGCACCTCGAGTCACGCGAATTAGCGTAACGCCGCGGCGATACTATATACTACGACTATCCTAAATACAAAGATATCAAGTTAGTGTCACTGGACCACTTCCGGAACCATGTTTCTACGGTCCACAAGGTCGTTCTGCGATCGGAGGAGCAGGTTACTGTTCGGCGAAACAAGAAACACAAGCACAGAAGGATGGCAAGAGGTAAAGACTAGAGTTGCTGGGTAGAGTTGCTTGGTAAGCCGTTTCAATTGAGATTTTGCGTCCATTTGTGCCTTTCAGACGGAGAGGTTCCAAGACCCAGAGCACTTCATGACTGGCGTGTAGGTGTATAAGGTTACTTTTAGGTTTGCAGACCAAGTTAAGGCCCGGAGATGAAGCAATTTAAGCATTGGCAATTAGTTCAGTTACTTCCACCGAGCAGATTACGCACATGCTTGAAACTCGGCATTACAGTCAGTTCAATTCAGTTTTTATAAGGGGATGTATGGGACAATTTGTGTTTCCATCAGCACCGTTGTTTTTGGCCTACTTCTCTTGCTCATGCTCATCGCTGGTTCTCATCGCTTTACTCCCCCCAGCCACTTTTCTCGCTCCTGAGACCGCGTAGATTTCCCCGCATACGAACGCTGATGTATGGTTGCCCTAAGACATCCTCTGGGAGCGATACTCAGCAATGCATGATCGTATCAGTGGGGCAGGCCTCGAGAAATCCAGCATGCTGCTCCAAGAGGCCCTCGATATTGGGATGGCGCCCTCGTGTAGGGTCGTGCCATTCCCAAGACCTCTGGCTGTCTGTCGACTGTTTCCTCCGCAACATGAAAGAGTCAGCTAGGTATCGGCCATGACACGAGAAGTCACCGTATGCAAGTATCTCCAACGAAGGAACACCCCTAGGTCCGAATAACCAAGTCATGAAGTCGAGAAAACTCCGATCCAGGACAGGCAGTATGACGGTGTTGTTGAGGCTTGGAAGATCGGCCCAGGAGAAACCATCAGCCTCGTATATCGCATGCTTCCCAGGGGCGAAACAGGCATAGAGGCCGGCGTCCGCTTCTACAGTGTCGAATACCCAAGAACCGAATCTCTTAATATCGGGCCCCGACTGCCGAATATGGAGAATTCGGAGGCATGCTTTACTGGCAAAGGGCGTCAATACCTCTTGCTAAAAAATTGGTCCAACTTGTCAACAGATGCTCTCGTACTTGTTATCTGGGTTGGTGCTGCAAGTCTTACCAAACGATCAGGATGGCAAGCTAAGCCAACGCACTCCAGGTCCAGCTCGTTCAGGGGATTGGGGAATGAATAGTTGAACCATTCATCGTCCCCTCCGTCTTCATAGTCTGCCCCAAACTCCGAAAGGTTCGACAGGAAGGTCGGGCTCAAGATCCCCATATCGCCAGTATCCATTACTGCCTCGAAAGTCTCGGATTCCACGTCGGAATCGACAGTCCTCGCCTGAAAGATGAACCGCTTCAAACTTCTTTTGTGCCGTCGTAAAGTGTCCCACAGCTCCCTTGCATCCCATCGGATTCCAAAGCGAGAGGTATAATTCATGAACTTTTACCAGGCCTTCAGTGATCGACTGTATCAATCGAGTTTCATTGAGGTTATTGTCGAGGTCATCGTAGAGGTTATCATCGGGGTCACCCCGTGAAGAACTCTGCACCTCTAATGACTGGATATGCATCCCCGGCATTGGCGGAGGGCGAGTGAGCGAAGGTGTGGGGAGCTGAGGGCAGAGGCCATCACTCACATATCTGGCCGTAGGTCTAAATTTGATAGAGACAGTCGCTGGAGAGCGGGGAATCCGCATCTCGTAGGACTGCGGGGAACTCGCCGAAGTAACGCCTCAAGTGGACGGCCATCGTATCCGACGTCATCTTCCCAGTATTTCATAAGTGCATTCCAATGGAGGAAGTCGAGCTCTAATTCCACCAGATGCTGCGCACGGTTCACGAGCACCCTCCTAAGAGATACGAAACTGTACCCGGTCCGTAAACCAATCCACGAGAAACGTTTTAGGCGCTGAAACTTGTCGAGAGCGAGAGGGTATTCACCCAACCTACAGCTGGCATCGGTTATCAGGTTAAGGGATTCGATGCCGCTCTGATGTAGAGGGAAGTAACCATCGCGACCGAGAAGTTGCGCAGGCACGCACACTCCCAAATCCCACCGGCAACACGGATCAGCAAATCGACAAGGGAATGGACCTCCTCCAAGAGCGCGACGCACGTGATGCTTCGCAACTGGCCGTCAGGAAAGCACCTTGAAAGAGATACAACGCGGTCTGTTAAGCTCTCAAGATTAGGGTGTTGGGTGGTTGTTTCAATGTTAGCTGATGCATGACTTCGTCGGATGAATCCCTCGACCATACATCGTCAGTGGTGCAGCGGTGTTCAATTCTCGTGGCAAAGCTGGCAGCAAGTCGCTAGTCACATAAAGTAACGGCTTCTCTTCGCCTGACTTTGCTTCGAGGAGCTTTGAGACATCAAGCTCGTCCAAATGACTCTCGGACAATGGGCGCACGGTTATGTCACGGTAGAGAGCATGAATTGATCGCTCGTAAAGGGCTTACGAGACCTTGCTCAGACTGTTGAGATCCCGTTTATCCGTGGTCTTAACGAGTCCCGATTGCGAGCTGGGAGTGGAGCCTTCTTGAGAGCAGCATGGCTTACCTGTAAGAGGTGCACCCGACCGAATCTAAAGACTAGGCGGAGTACTCAATGCACGGCACAAGCTGAATTCCTCGCATCGTCGTGATCGCGAACCTCACCCCGCCCCAGCTTCGTTGGGCAGGCGGATGCGGTTGCGGCAAGCATAAGTTCATTTGGGCATATGACGCATCAGGCAGGTTTTCGGAACATACAGGAGAGAGAGCGAATCGTTGAAGAACCCTCTTGCTGCCCTGCTGTCTGGCATTTTGGGATGATTCTGCGATCCGTAGTGCTATTGCTGGTCACTTATGCTGATTATCTCGATTCCTGTTGCCTAGCCTTGTAGTGCGAGGTTCACTCTCACCTCGAGCGCGTCTACATCTTCCTCGCCTTCATTCGCCTCTCCGTCGCGACTCTAGGAGGCTTCGTTAGACCGTCTTTGTCTCCCCTTGCCTTGAATATCCATCATAGAGGAATCAATCGCGGGTTCTACCGCATAAGCTGCAACAGGAGTCTGCGGACGGTCGCAGTGGTCGTCTTATGCGAATGATAGGCCGAAGGAGTACGGGAGCATCTATTGGAAGACTTGAAGACTTCCGATTGCGCCTCGGCGAGGAACATTACGGTACTAGCCCTTAAAGCAATCAAGAAACATTAGGCAAAGAGAAGAGTTTGAGCAAGCCAAGGGAGTTATTAAGAAGTCACAGACCCAATCGTCCTTGTTATAAGAGTATTTATAGGCGAGCAGTCTATCTCTCAAATGCTTCTGTCGAAAACTGTATGATCAGTACCCGCCCTGAGGAACATCCAAGGGCGATTGTTGACTTGTAAATGGCTGAAGTCAACGGCCGATACTCTGAGGGCAACCAAAGCATTCTCTGGTCATGTTTTACGATCCAGACTCCATCGGGACTGATTCTATAGCCGTGATCATGAGGCACTGTAGAGATCCCTGAGATCTTTTGAGGCTGCGTCTCCGTATCGAACAGATCTAGAACTTGGACGTCCCTATCGGCAGAGAGACGCGTGTTAGGCCTCGTAACAAAGGAAGGGCGAGCGACCGAGCCACTATTCCCCTCGAGCGTCCGCACGCACGCGCCCGTTTCTGCGTTCCAGACCTTGACCACCCAGGTCCTGGACTCGGGCCTCCCATCGTCGGACATTGAGATGAGCCGTGCACCATCTCTTAAGAAAGCTACCGCTGTGACCCAGTCGGTATGCCCTTCAAGCGTCTGCACACAGGTACCTGTCGCCACGTCCCAGACCTTCGCCGTCCTATCGCCGGACCCTGAGATAAGACGTTGGCCGTCTGCCGAGAAGCATACTGATTTGACTGAGCTTTGATGGCCTTGCAGCGTTTGTACGCAGGCGCTTGTCGCCGTATCCCAAACCTTGACGGTCCCATCGGATTCGGCCCCTGATGCGAGCCACTGGCCGTCCTCTGAGAAAGCTACTGACGTGATCCCCCCATTGTGAAACTCGAGCGTCTGCGCGCAGGCGTCCGTTGCCACGTCCCAGAACTTGACGGTCTTATCACCGAACCCTGAAGCTAGTCGCCGGCCGTCGGGCGAGAAAGTCACCGAGAGTGCCCATTCACGGTGGCCTTTTAAAGTTTGCATACAGGCGCCCTTTGCCGTGTCCCAGATCTTAATAGTGCCATCGCCAGATCCCGAGGCGACCCGCTGGCCATCCGCCGAGAAGGTTACTGATGCAACATGGCTGTTGTGGCCCTGTAGCGCCTGTATGCAAGTCCCCGTCGTAGCATTCCAGATCTTAGCCGTCGCATCGTTCTCAGACCCTGATACGAGCCACTGGCCGTCCATCGAGAAGGCCATACTAGTGGTCCAGTCGCCATGGCCTTCGAGAGTCTTTATACAAGCACCTATCGCCACGTTCCACACTTTGACCGTTTTGTCCATTGACCCTGAAGCGAGTTGTTGATCGTTCGCAAAAAAGGCCAGTAACGTGACCGAACGGACGTGGCCCTTCAGTGTCTGTATGCAGGCGCCCGTTGCTGCGTCCCAGATGTTAATAGTTCTGTCGCGGGACCCCGAAGCAAGTCGTTTGCCGTCCGCCGAAAAGGCTATCGAAGAAACCCAGTCACTATGGCCCTCGAGTGCTTGCACGCAGGCACTTGTTGCCACATCCCAGACCTTAACGGTCTCGTCCCGGGAAGCTGAGGCGAGCCACCGGCCGTCCCCCGAAAAGGCTATCGACATAACCCAGTCGCTGTGGCCCTCGAGCGTCTGCATGCAAGCACCCGTGGTAGCATTCCAAACCTTGATCGTCCTGTCGTTGGACGCTGACGCGAGCAACTGGCCATCGGATGAGAAGGTCACCGATTTGACAGTGTCACCGTGACCCTCGAGCGTCTGCAGGCATGTGATCCAATCCGCTTCTATATCCGGTGCTGAAATGATCCAGTTTGGTGCTTCGTCTCTAAACAGTCTTCCTACTAAGCTCCGGGTAGGACAGAAAGTGAGCGCTGATGCATAAACTTGTAGCGGAGCAATCTCCAGAGCTCCTTTGCAAGACAGGACAAATCGTCTAGCGTCTTGAAGCAGGTCTGCTAGTTGTCCATTCCCTGAACCCCCCTGTCGCAGATCAAGTCAATTCACGTCAACAGTCTACCCAGCAGTCAACAGGTCATAAGCGTTGGCTTACCACTAAGGGCTCAAGCTTCTGCATTGCCAGCACGGCTTGTGGGATGCTGCGTAGTAGACTAAGGGCCTCCAGCCAGTAAAGATAGTTGCGTAGAAGGAAGGTATGAACAGGGCCATCGTCTTGGAGTTGCTTCTGTGCGACTCCTTCTGCATGATTTAAGTCGCGAAGATGATCGACCCAGTGTATACAAAAATATCGTACAGGCGCTAATGGATCTGGATCGGGCGGGGAGACGTTGTCGATGAGGAATCCTGGGGCGCTCAACTCGTAGACGTCGCGTCGAAGTGTCCTGGATAGGACTTCAAGTGATCTTGAGAAAATAGCATGGTGCTGGTGCGCGATACCAGAAGGGAGGATTTGGCTGTGAGCGTCGTTCAACAGGAAATCCTTCGCTGATTGGTGTATAAAGTATATAGTTCCCTCTCGGAGAGTTAGAAAAGAGCCGCAAGATCCGATGACAGTTTCCAAGGCTGCAGGGTCGCTATCGAAGCGGGCTAGAGACTCAATTGTAGATGTCAGCTCCTCCAAAGAGATAGGGCGGTATATGACTGAGACAACGGCCAGGATCTGTTTGCACAGCTCTGCATCCTTCGAATCGCAAACATGTTCCATCATTCGCCTGTACAGGGAATCAAGACCTGGTGGGAGAGTTCTGAGGATGTCGATCGCGTGCCACCTCTGAATAGCCGTGCCCGCCAGCTCTTAATAGGCCAAGGCCACCCAGAGGAAGGTGTTGTTCGCCTTGTCGGCGAAATACCGCTGAACGGTATCCCGGGTTTTTATGTCGTACTTTTTGAGCTGTGCTAATTCGTCGACTTTATATCGGATGTAAATGCGAACAGCGTCGGAGATGACGTCTTGATTAAGTTCGAGCCGTAGCGTGACTTTTCGTGTGGTGCCGTCCAGCTTCTCCTCGATGTCCGGCCATTTCGGCTGGAAATGGCCCACTTGGCACGAGACGAGGACAACATCCGAACAATAAAGTTCAGCAGCTGCGACCGGCCCGTTTCGCACTCATCGAGGGCGTCAACGATGAGTATTACGCCATCCGGAGCTGAATCATCTAGTAGCATGTCGGTGAGCATCTTAGACATAACTTCCCACGCGTTCGGCCCCTCGAAACGCTGCCGCTTGCCGCCACCGTCGTGCTCCTTATGGACGCGAGAGATAAGCGAGGGGTGTTGGCGTACAAGGCTGTAGATCAGACCTCGCAGCACAGCCGTTGCATTGTTCAGCTTCTGTTCAGTGGCCTGGCAGAAGAAGTAACTTAGCCGATTCGCTGGGTCCTTCTCCAGCTCGTCGATGACCCCACATAGCAGCATTGTCTTGCCCTTGCCAGGGTCGCCCTTAATCCAGAGCAGTCCACTATACAGATCTATACGCCATTCCCGGAAACTGGGGTTGTCTAGAATCCAACAGTACGAGTCTCTGATAAGGCCCCCTTTCATGTCCTGGATGCGCGTCTTGTCGTGGCGGGGGTCCGTCTCGTAGAGGTCGTTAAGGCATTCCTTATCTTTCTCGTCTTGTCGAGTCTTCTCTTGCCGCATGACCTGATGTTGGATGGCCGCAACCATTGGAGTTATCTTCTTTGCTTCTCGAAGAATATACGCGGAGAGGGTACCGAAGCGCACGGCTGATCATTTATCGGCCCTGGGCTTGCTTCTCATGTTGATATCAGCCATAGTACTTGGGCGTCGCTAGCTGGATACTACACCAGAACCGGCAAATTGACCATCACTAACATAAGCCCAAAGCATAAAGCAGAGGACGGGGCCACCCTCATAACGACATTTCGGCGAAAGAGGAGGATACACTTCAGAGATCAGGAGGGGCGACTCCAAATCAGGAAACGGCACATTTGTTGCACCACGAGGACTGGATGGAGAGTATGAATTATGGTAATCCTCTTAGGTTCGTTCCTGAAATGTGTCCTAACCTTGATGCGAACTAAATGAGGCAAATGAATGAGAATATAAAGCAGTGTTCACGTGTACTTCTAGCTGGAGCTCCTGTTCGAGTTGAATCCTAAACTTCAAGTTGCCATGCGCTTAACCCTCGTGGAATAATACACTTGGAGTGAACCAATACTTCGCCCTGGATACGATTTTTCGAATTTCTTATGAATTTCCTTCCATGACAAGCGCTCGTTTCGTAATCGAACGAGATAATTCTCCTTATCGGCTGAGAAAGGAGTTCCTGTCCTCGAGCTTCGTTTCCGCTTCTTCGAGTCCGTTAGGCGTGCAACATCTTCGGTGGGCAAACCTGTGGCTTTTCTTTTCGAGGCATCGACATGAGTATCCGAAGCGTGAAGGTGATCGAGCTCCGTCTTTAAGTCGTAATTGAATTCAAGTTAGAATTTCGTCGTGCCACCTACCACCACCCGCTTTAAAATAACATTATCCAACGGCCACTCGCTAAAGATAGTAAACGGACCTCCTTGATGTGATTCCTGGTCTGAAGAAATATATAAGGATCGCGGGCTAAGATAGCCAGAGGTTCCAGACTCTTTGGTAGCAGAGCCTAGCGGCCTCATAGGAGCTAGGCGGGAGGTACGACGGTCAGGGCCAGCCCTGCCCCGAGGTCGACGGGGGCTATACTGGTTAAGCCTAGGTCCAGTGCTCTTGCTACTACGGCTCCTAAGTCGTCGCAGTCTCCTAGAAGACCTAGTGCCGTAATCCTCATCGCTGTCACTGGATTCCTCCGACGAGGAAGCCGAGCATAAGGCATTATTTTCGTGACTATGTTATTAGTTTTGATAACGTTCTGCTTTATCTCGGGCAGCAGCTATAGTATAGAGGCGAGCGCTAGATCGTCGTATATAGTTATTAGGAAAAGGATAGCGGCGGGCTCGCTTAATCTTAGGTGGTAGGAGAAGTTTTTTCACACTCTTCTATATACGCGGCTAATTACCTATTAAGGCCTAGTCTCTAGCGTCTAACGATAAATTAGTCGGAGTTCTCGGCGAGCTATAAAGGGGAGGGGCAAGGGTAGCCCCGTGGCTTAATACTAGCTATTCAGAATATAAGGGTACCGAACTTAATATAGGAGATAATAAACGTATAGGCGATTAACTGCTAGACCTTAAGCTAAGTCTAGTTTTCCCGGTTAAATTAAGGCTATCTCGGTCGTTAATAAGTCCGTCCAGTATCCGATCCAGTTCCTCTATATCTATATCGGGAGATACGGGTATCGGGTCGTGGCGTATAGGCGGGTATTCAGGAGCTTCTTCCCGTGGTTAAACAAAGCCATTAACTAGAGATAGTCGTCGGTATTAGAGTTAGTCTGGCTCGATACTATCGCTTACGGCTAAACCCGCGATCCTGTCTATATCAGGGGAGGGTATAGCCTAAGGGGACGGTATAGGCGAGGCAGATCGCGGTATTAGAGAGGCCCGTCTCTTAGGGCTAAGGTCGTTAAGGGCCTAGCGAAACTATTATACTAGGAAGGCTAGTGATAGTAAAGGGGATAGGCCGTTCTCGCGGATCGGATACTTCGAGTCCCTATCTTAGTATAGCTAGAAGCTTACGTCTGAATAATCGACTATTCGTCTAGCTACCTTAGACGTGTTTAGCTAAGTATTAGCGTTATCGCCACTGCTAGTATCGCTAGCGCTATCGTCTTCGACTTCGATAGCGTCGCGTATAGACTACCCACGGGCAAGAGCAAGCTGGCTCTACCGTATAGCTAGCGCGGAGGGTCTTAGTCTCTAGGGATATACCGGCGCAGCTAAGTAAGCTCCGGCTTCCTTATTAGTGACCAGAGAAGATCTAGGAGTCGGTAAAGCGTAAAATTAAATACGGTTAAGAGTGATAGATATTATAGTCGTATAACTAAGTCCGTAAACTAAAGTATATTAGCAAACATATAAAGGTTAAAGAGCAAAAAAAGGGGGAAGATACTTCTTTTTATAGATACGTAGCTGCCTGCCTATTACCACGCTCTATATCTCCTTTCTCGCGCGCCCTCGATATAGCCCGACTTATAGGATTTTACTTACTCCTATTTCTTACTTAAAACCCTCTCTATTCGCTCCTAATATCAAGCACTATTCCCTTGCTAGTATTATCGCCGATTAGTAAACCGAGCCGGTGTTTACGCCCTGCCTGGTTCGGATCAGGAATAACCCGAGGGCTAAAAATCATTCGATTCTCGGGGTTACCGCCCTGCTAGCGCCACGAGCGTATCCTAGATTAGGTATAGACGCAGTACGTAGGGCCGCGAATCTAACTACTACGGCCGTAAAAACAGGGTTTTACGTAGTATATACCCGAAATATAAATAAGGAACGAGTCGTAAGGTCCAGAGGAAGCTTATTACCCGATCCAGTTACGAAATAGCCGAAGTAGACCGGTACGATATAATACTGCTAAACCTAATTCTACGGCCAAGGCCGTTAATAACTTCGTGTCTACAGGAATACGGACCACCTACCCCTCTAAATAAGCCTAATAAGTTTAGCTTAGAACGGCACGGCTATTAACGCTTTATATTAGGCTCTCGGTACGTGCCCTAGGCCTCGGCTTGTAACGCCACAGGAGGGCCCGAGATCCTAGCCTAACCTTCCCCCCTTTTCCTTATATAACGTAAATCGTACGATCTAACCAGATAAAGCAAAGTCCGGTACCTATAGTAATACCGGTAGGAACGTAAGCGTCCTTAGCTCAGTATATCGTTACATCGCCGCCGGAGCTTTATCCTTCAGGCATATCGTAAGGCATATCGCGAGGCGTGATCGATAGGTCTAGACAGGGCGAAAGAGGCAGTGATTATCGGGAAGCTAAGGCCGTAAAGATAGCGTGATCTGTTAGTAGTAGAGAGCGATACTAGGAGAGGTGCGGCCTCTTTAGGCATTCTTTATTCGGGCAGGAGGTTGGGAGTAGGTTAGATAGACACGTCACTAGAAGATGATATATTAGCAAACTTCTTACAGAAGACGCTAGTCGGCGGGAACGTAGGGAGCTTACAAGGCTCGAGGCTCAAAGCTCACAGATCGTGTAAAGCGGACATCAACTAAGATTGCTAGTTAACCTAAGGGAATACGGCTAGGGAAGGGCGATACTGGGCCGGACCAGTCCGCGGGTTAGTTAAAGCAGCAGTATAATAACGGAAATTACGAGGACCGGCAGGTTAGGGGGCAGAAACAAAGCGAAGCGAGGGGAATAGCACTAACGGCTAAAGGCTAAGCCTACGAGGATATAACGATAAGACGAGTCGGGAGGGGAAGGAGGGCAAAGGAGTAGAGAGTACTTAGGAGGACGTGAAGTGGGAGGGACGGCCTTCTTATAGGAAGACGTGGTAAGGCCCGTGCACGTGGATAAGATACTAACAGGCACGACATAGCGCGTTACCCGATTAGGGCTACCGCTATTCCCGGAGGGGAAAGCAGCGACTTCGCGTTTACGAATACTATCGTCGGACTAAGCCTCTAGTGGCCGATCGTTATTCGACTATTAGGTCCTAGATATACCGAATCCTGCCTAACGGTCGTTATCCGCTTTAGGAGCGATTATCTTATTAAGAAGGAGATATAGGTCTACCCCGAAGGGATAAGGACTAAAGGGTAATAGGGAGTAATAGATAAGGATCGTAGTCTTATATAAGGGGAGGCTAACTATAGGTTAACTAGTAGTTAATAGGAAGAGTATCTTAAAGGTAGGTAGTAGTATAGAGGAGAGATAATCGCTAATCCCTTCCTTCTAGAATAGTCTAGCTCCCCGTCTTATATAATAAATATCCACTTATCAGTTAGCCGGTAGTCTACTACGTAGTCCACTGCTATATCCTAGTACCTCCTAAGTCTTCCTTATATCCTACACCTAACAACGCTCGGCCAATTCTCTTTAATTCTTTCAAGAATCGAACTTGAATGTCATTCTTATCAAAAATGCACTTTACCATTAAGTTAAAGAATCTGATAAATTAATAAGAATAATTATTATTTTATCCAACCTAAATTAATAATATAATTCATTCAG